CTTTAGTTTCTTGATTAGAATGGTAGATACATAGGTCCAACGAGGAAGTTCAACATTTGTTTGTTGCAAAATCAGTTGTAAAGTAATAAAAAAAACGTTATTCAGGAAGGTAGAAAGGGAACAAGTCCAACCTTTGTTTGTTGCAAAATCAGTTGGAAAATAAAAAAGCAAACGTTATTCTTGTTCAATCTCCATATCTCATGCCCATTATATGGTTGTTGCCGTTCAGCAATTTATATGAGGAAGTATAGTATAACATGTAACGCAAAATTGTTTAATATGGCGGGGAGTGTATTTCTACTTTTGAGGTCCCTGAGGTATGAAACATCCTTTTAGGTGGTCCATCTAAATATAATTGAAATTAACAGTTTAAAATGTTGTTTTTAATAGATTATTATTTTTAATTTTTAAAATTTATTTATTTTTTCATTATCATGATCTCCATATTAGAGATTATCTGTCCTTAAAAGTTAGGTCAAAAAATCCATCTCAAAAATAAATTTTTAAGAGGTAACTCATTTCTACATAGACTAACATTTCACCCTAATTGAGCTATGCCAATCGTATTGTCATTCTTACTAGGGAATTATAAGATTTAGATAAGGGTGAGTTTTGTTTATGGTGCCCACTGTACTGTACAATTAAAGCGCACCTCTAAATTTTTTCGGGAGATAGTTATGTTGTCGGTTGATAGCTTGAAAATTCATGTTCAACCTTAATTATAAAAATTACAATTTTAAAAAAATGTTGTAGATTGGTTAGATTTATAAAACGTTTAAAAATCTTGGAAATAGAAAACCCAGATAACTTGTGATGCGTTATTTTAGAATTTGAAATATCCATACATGTGAAGGTCGAGATATTCGATTGATATGTTTTCTAACTTCATAACACTTTTTTCTATTAGATTTATTGAAGTGCACCTTACTTCTACAAGACAAAATGGCAACTTTATATATACTTCTATTAGGTCTGGTAAGTGCCGGGCAAGGCTTGCACTAGTCATGGGTGGAGGTCTCTTTGGTTCAAGCAAGGTCCGGCTCAATCCACTCCTACAGGAACTATCGCCATCGTCGATCGAGTCTATTGCCAGCCCTACCAAACCCCCTTTTTTCCACTCACCTCACTAGTTATTTCTAGGCCAAGGCAGGTCTAATTAGCTCCAAGCCTCCAACTCAATCCAAGCCTGCCCAGGCTCAAGCTAGTGCGATAAGAATTAAGGGCCCTAGCTGGCCCGGGCCAGGCCCAAGCCGTTACCGACCATATTTATGTTTCCGTCATTATTCGTAAAATTGCCCGATCTAACCGCTAACCATCCGGGTAGATCCAAACCGGCCAGTGTCCGGTTTCGATTTTGGGCGATTAGGGTGATCAACTGGTATTTAAAAATAAAAAAATAAAAAAATGTGTATAAATTCTCAAAAATAAGTAATTTGATTTGTAATGCATTTTTAAATATTCATTACATTATGGTAAAGATTAAAAATCGTTTTGGTCATTAATATTCACTTTTCTATTTTTTTCATATTTTTTAGAAAAATTTTAAAATAACCATTGGAAATATAAAATAGGTTAAAACCTATTTTTTTCATTAATTTTCAACTTCATTTGAATGTGATTTGTTTTAATCATTCTTTATATGCTTTCCATATTTTAGCAGATTTGTTTTATATTTTTTTTAACACTTTTTTTACTGCATGGGATTTGTCCGATTAAAACGGTTGAATTAGCCGGTTTATCAATTAGACCGGTTAAATCGCTTCAAAGCCCATATCCGATTAACGGTTTTGATTCGATTATGCGAAGGCTGGTTCTGCACACGTCACTGCGGGTTGCTTCCACGTAGGTTAAGACGCGATATTTGTCATCCAACATGGCAACATGTCAGATTTATGACACTCTCTTTTTTATTTTAAATTACAAAGTAAACTCCCATCCCTATCCGATTTGGTGCATTTGTCACGAAGTTTCGGCGCTGCCAATTATATACCCTTTATTCTTTCCTTTTAATTCGATGAAGTCCGAGAAGGTTCCATGAAAATTTATTTTTTTGTTGGTTAAATCTCGAGCTTAAATTTGCACTTAATTCATTAGGGATTGGCTGAAACTTCCAAGAATTCTTGAGAAATATAGATCACTATTCCTAAAAATAAATGTATACTTTTGTGGTAGATTTATGTCGAATCTAGATGATATTTATCTAGGTTCACATTTGGAAAAACAACTCAAATTAGAAAATGAAAACTTTACCAAAATGCATCTAATTTATCTATAGAAAAAGTTTATATGGAGCCGAAACTCTAAACAATCGAATTAAAACTCACTTCAAAAATATCACTAGAAGATGTTGTTTTGATGCCCAAATGTCTTCAAATTGATCATCTTGACATCAAGATGCATGGACATGAGAAAAAATTTGATTTCAAGTTTTGGAAATAGTGCATCTTATAATGCATATTTGGATTGTCAATTTTCAAGATTTTTAAGTTTTCATAGATTTGCTTAATCGGTATTATTTTTTAAGCTTTAAATTTTATAACTAGAGATTAAAATATATTTTAAGGCTATCACAAAGATTTACAGTATTGAAACATCTTTTGAAGGTGTGATTTACTTTGATTGTTTAGAACATCATCTTTATACAAGCCGCACCTTTTATCTATTATTTAACTCTTTACCATGTTTAACTATTCCATCTCATCGATCACTTGCATTTTAATGGGATTTATTAAATCAAATAAAAAGAATTGATAACTATTAAATAGTACATCTTTTCGATACATTTACATAAAGAAAATGGTTCGATAGGGCTGCAACCCTATCTTAATAAGTAAAGCCTCACCTCATAACTCATCAAAAATTATATATTTAAGTGTTGAAAAACCTTTAAATCGATCTTTGAACATTATGGTAGTGCAAACAAATTACGATTTCAAATTCTAAAAACAATGTATATTGTAACAAATCATCGACCTACCATTTCAATCGAAAAATAAATACTCACATATTCACCTGTACATTTTTTTAGTTTCGAATTTCATTGTCGATGTTGGAAATTAATTTTAGACCCATCACAAAGATTTTTGAAGTGAGGCTTATTTTGTTTTCATGAAGACTAAGCCCTATAAAAATTTCATCCTTGGGATAATTCCTTTTAATAATTTGACCGTAGGAGTCAAACTTGAGACATGGTATCGCTAGGAAAGTTGAGATGTAATATTCTTAAACTTAAGAAGATAAGTGTAGTCATATATTCTGGTGCACTATAGTCACGAGTGAGTATTTTGAATTATTAATGCTTAATTCACGTATGCAGGTGCGTACTACTGGATGTTTTCGGAGCAATTTTCAGTTGACCAAAGTTCGGTCCAAAATTTCGCCTCCGAGTAGATGCTTGCAATCACGGTACGAAACGAAAACTTCCGGCGGAGGTTACCTCGGTCAATAAAAAAAAAAAAACCTAAAGGGTGTTTTCGTCATTTCCAGCAGCAATAATTGAAGATCCCCAAGGAACAAGGCCAATCAGAGTAATTTTAAGAAAATCTAGGGGCATTTAAGTCATTTATAAATTATGCCACGTCAATGCGTACTCTTTCCGGTCTTCTCTCTCTGTCGCACAAGGGCGGCTCCAAGATGTCTATAAAAATACACCCCTTAGAAAGGGAAGCTCATCTAAGGTTCTTCTTTCATTTAGACTTCTAGAGAGAGAAACCACTGAGTTTTTGAAGTTTCAGAGAGAGAGAGAGAGAGTCCACTAGGAAGTTATTGAAGTTTCATCGCCATTAAAGATGGGTTCTGAAGGTTTTATCTCTCAAGACATGGCTGAGATGCTTGTGAAGGCTGGGTTGTTTTTTGGGGTTCAAGCCTTGGTTTTTCTCATCCTCTCCAAGTCCTCAAACCTGTTCAAAACCAGGATGAGGTCTTTCAAGACTGTGAGATCTGCGAGCATGAGGCGAATTCTCGCCATGATTTCCGACGACCACACCGGGGAATCCTCACCTCAGCATTCCCCCATTTCAACCCTGAAAGAACAGTGAAAGCCTCTCCCTGCAAAAGTGGAACTCTAGATATCATGTTGCTGCACTCATCACGGACACCAACAAGAACATATGTCAAAAATTGACCTCTTATTTTTTCATTGTTTGTTGTGAATTTTTTTTTTATTGGATTGATTTAGGATTGTGAAAGGCCACTTGAGCTACAGGCTGGAATCCATTGTTTGTAATTGCATTCGTACTTCATACAATTAATTGAATTTATTATTTTTTATTTATTGTGGATAAAGTGATTTTCCATTGAAAATAAACTGTTAGATTGGCTAGTAAAGTTGCTCTCCATTAAAGTCATGTGATTTAGGTTTCCAAACACAATATCAAACAGATTGAAGTTAATCAAATAATAAAGTAGGACAAAACAGACATATGTTTCTGTCTAATTTAATGACTCGGGTTAAGATAAAACTAGAGAGAGGGTAAAGAGAACAATTTGAAGTATAGAGAGAGAGGAAATGAAAGTATTATAATTAAACGAACCGAGTTATGTACAGTCAAGAAAATGTAAAACAGTAAAGGAAAAGGGTAAAATTTTGTAAAAAATAGTTAAAAAGCAGACAAACTTACGATAATGTAATCATTAGAAGATTGAAGACGATGAAAAAAAGTCTATAAAAGATGGATAATTCGAAATTGTCGCTTATACCTTGAATATTTTTTAAAATTTACAAGGAAAAAAACTGAAAGTTCTTAAATCATGTTAAAAACTATCAAAACCATCTATAACTTAATTTTAACTAATACAATGTTTTTTTTTTATTTTTGTGCATTTTTAAAAATTAATACTAACTTTTTTGGGAATAGATTGAAATTTTTTTTTATCAAAATTACAATTTTGTCTTTATTTTCCGACATTTTAAATAGAGGTCACTCGTTAAAGTCATTTTTTAATGATTTGGTATGATTTGAGTTTTTATATAAGCACATTTAGATTTGATTTTTGTTAACGCGTAGGTCAGAAAATCTGAAAGATAGAAAGACCCCAGAGAGAAAACTGTGAGAGATCTTAGATCTAAACAAGCTCTAGCCATTAAACCTGCATCCTTAAGCTTAAAAACAGGTCCAAGGAAGTCACAATTACTTCTAGTCATTAAATATCAAATGGAATGGCTTGGAGCGAGTCACAAAGTCCAAGAATTTTTTTTTTGAATTTTGAGTCTAGTCAATGATATGTTTATAATCACCGGATCTGAAATCTAACGGACAAGAATTATTGTGACCTCCTTGTACCAAAAATAAATGATGTCATTGTATATTTCTCCTTTACATATCCCTATTTTTTATTATTATTTTGTTTCTTTCTTCTCCTCATGCACATATTTATTTGATGTTTGTAAAATTAAGCAACTTCACATAGAATACATGCGTAACATAGTGGCCCAAACGAATGAGTGGTTAACTTTTTAGATTTTTAGGCGGTTCGATGTTAAAAAAATTAGAAGTGTTGTTTTTTTTTCTCATTTAAAATCGTTTTATCTTAAAGATATTGAATTTCCCTATTGATACCCAACATGTGGGACAATAGAGCAATCCGATGTTTTCAATCGGACTGACCCAAAAAGGGGTTCAACCAATATTCATGCTATTGGACTGCCTTGGAAACAATAAAAATAAAATAAAAATTACAATGACAACATTAGACTGGTGGCAAAATTGGAATAAAAAAAAATATGTAGTTTCTATATGGCCTAGGCTTTACGAAAACAAAGAAAAGCCTCACATTGAATTCTCGTCCAAAAGCACTATTGGGATTGAAAATCTCCACGATGGCTCTAAAATTAATTTTCAACACCGATTATGAAATTTGTAGATTAAAAATGGTACAAATATTATGGATCTTTGAATGCTTATTTTTAGGGCGAAACAAATGACCTAGATAATGTACTATAATATGTAATATTTTTAAGGTTTGAAGTCCATTTTTTTCACAACCATAATGATTAAAGCGTAGATGATCGATTTGAAGGTTTTTTTGACACCAGAACTACAATTTTTGGTGTGTTTTCATAGAGCTGCAGCCCTGTAAAATATTGTCCTAAAAAAAATAACAACGAAAATGAGGAACCTATTTGTAAATGTCAAAAAATACGGACCAAACTGTAATTCCAATCAAATATTCTGGTCTACATGTAAATTTTCCTATTTGCCAAGTATGTTTTGGTGGCCAGCTAGTTGGCAACCCAACTTGCCTAGCCACCAGGGCAAGGCTGAATTACATGGCCAAGTCGGCTGAGTCCGAAAACATTAGTCTTCTTTTTAAAGATAAATAAATAAAATCATATCTAAAAAGCAACAATAGAGTTTTCCCTCCCTAAAGTTCTATTTCCTCCAACTCCTTAACCTTATTTTAATCAACTTGGACTCCCAAGAAACTGAAATAGGAAACTATTCTAAAACAACCCAAACCCACCTACCTAGGACTCTAAAAATAAAGAAAACCTATCCAATTTTAGCAATAATGTTCAAATGTAGACACCTAAACTAATATTGCCAAAAAAGGTAACTGATTAGAATGAGAAAGTTATTACGGCTTTGGATCAAAGGGGCAACCAAATGGTTGAGACGTGGAGATATGAGCTACTGCGTCAAAAGTCCTAATTGCATGAGAAAAATGTGATCCTCGCCTATGAGCCACTCCTAGTGCCTTCAAACCGCTTTTGTTCAAATTAGGATCAAGTTTTGCTGTCTTCGTTGACTCACCTATTTGTATAGGTTCTCCATATCTATTTGTATAGGTTCTCCATATGAGGTGCATCATAATCATCAAAGTTTTTTTTCAAGTATTTGAGGTTGGATATATAAATCTTAGTTCGTCATTCTACTCTATCATGGATGCCTCCAAGATTATTCATCGTCATCGTCATTAGAGCCTTTTTCTAACCATTAGGATTAGCTAACACCTCCAAAATTCATACTTAACATAAATTTTAGATCCAAATTTGTAGAAATTCATAATTTTATATATATATATATATATATATATATATATAGGAAAAAACTCATGTACGCCCATGAGCTTATCATAGAGAATGCGCTCAACAACCCATATTGAATCTAGACCGATCTGACGTTCACAGATATTCAATAGTATTTGAATTTTAATTGTTTTTATACAAGTTGGATTAACCTGAAATTTTTTTTTGTTGTGTTTATCAAAAAGAGGATAATCTATGAAAAATATCAAAAAAAANATATATATATATATATATATATATATATAGTAATATAGTATAGTTATAGTAGTTAGTTATTATTATTATTATTATTATTATTATT